TGAGATGAAAGAAAGGATTTATTGTCAGATTGGAAAATCAGCAAGTCAAAACTGACTGCAACTTGGCATTAAGATGGGATCTTCAAGATAAACTACATAGGATGTTTAGTTAGGGATGGGAGAAATAGATATGTTGAATTCAACATGAGGATAGTAAAACTCAAGACAGCTTTCAGAATTAGGTAAATTTGTGGACTGCTCTAACTTGGACTTAGTAACTATTCTTTGAGAAGTTACTAATGGACATTCTAATTACAGCACACTACATGATCCATTCATCTCTAATATCCACCTGTAGCACCAACAGGAAAGAGAATATTTACCTCTTAAAACAAAGCGTGTTTGTAAAGCAATTCCATTTGTAAAATTCCTTTCCTTCATTGTGCTTATGTAAAAACATGCACAAGTTTGTGACAGATAGGAAAGTGACAAATTATAAGTAGAAATACTGTTATTCTTAAAAAAAAAAAAAAAAAAAAAAAAAAAAAAGCAGACTGATATTTACAGCTTTAGAGGAGGAGACATTTTTGAGATTGTGAAATTCTCTTTGCAGAGTTTTTCTCAACCATTTTGCTTTGGAGGAATAGAAGAGATGGTAAGGTTTTCTCTAACAAAAAATGTCTACTTCAAATAGAAGTTTCAGGAGCACAAATTCATGACCCACATTTCTTCTGCTTGCTAAATTGTCAGCTTCTAGATGGATTCTCCTATTTAAATTCTGTAGATGTCAGTGCTCTTGTGTAACTATGTTAACTAAGTTACTTATCATTTTAGTAAATTAAAATAATCAATAATTACATATCTTCAGTAGAGGGGTTAGAAAAGAGCTGAGTCCCATCACCTGCATGTCATACATGTCAGAGCATTCTGATATTCTTATCAAGCTTCATCTCAAAAAAGAAAAGGGTTTTTGTATCCCTGCTTAAACTGCTGGACTATTTCTGAAGTGTTTCAGTGTTTGAAAGACTTTTAATTTACAATCTAAATTTATCCCTGGCCACTTCATATTTGTTTTCATGACAATGTTATCATCTAGCTTAAAATTCTTTCCTCGGTGCAGGTGCATGTCTCAGATAGACTAATAGCTCTTCTTTTTTTCTAGCTGTGGTCAATCTCTGATTTTTAAGCTGGATGTAGTTTATGAGCAGCTCAAGTGCATTTTCCTTTCTGGAGCTTAACTTTGTACTAAGCAGGAAGGTGGTGTCATACAATTGCTGGTTAAGTCAAATATCCAGCTGTGAAAGTAAATTAGTAAAATAGGCCATCATTACCCCATTTAACCTACACCCCAGATTACAGGCTATAGGACCAACAGCTGCAAGCCTATTACCCAGCATCAGGATAGAAAAACCATGAGAAGGCATAATTTTCTACTTTGAACTACTCTCACTGCTTCCCTTCCTTAAGCTCCTCAAGTCTATAGGGTGTCTTTTGGCAATCTGAAGTTTCCTGTGTGAGACTTGAAACGTATACTCTGAAATAAGCCCTCTCTTCTACATATTTCTTTTCATTCTCTCTCAAGAAGCTATGCATACGTGAAAAGCAGTATCTTACATGTTAATATTTTTTCTTTCAGAAAACCTTGAATGTGACAGTTTCACATACTCTTAAGTTAACTTTATAATCCAAACTGAGCATCTAAATTCCAATTTGAATTTTTCTACCTCTCTCTCTCATTAATTATTCTGCATTTTCTCCTTAGAATAAATGTCCACTGCTTTCTGCCCCTCTGAGGTACTCAAACACTTCAGTCACATTAGTTTTCAATCTTCTTTCTGATAAGCTAAGCAGATTAAGCTTTTAACATTTTACTGTAAGGAATTTTCCCTTCCTCTCAGATTATGATTTACTAGCCTTGTTCACTACCTTTCCTAATGCTCTGATGTCCCTGTAAAACACAGGATCTGATGCAACGTCCCAGGACTGGCCTCATTAATATCATATGAAATAACTGACCTTCTTATTCCTACTCTTTTAACCTCTCCACACCAAGGGATAATACAGCAGCACAGTTAAAACTTTATCACAGCAATTGAATTGTTCAATTTGAATTCTGAATTGTCTTCTGAATCACTACTTTCTCCAACTCTATCCACAGTTCTGACCGATACACTGCTAATATCCTTCCTTCACAGTACTATCCTACCTTTCACAGTACTTATTCTACTTAAATGGATTGCATTTAAGAAGTCAGGTTACCTCCCTGTCCTCATCAGAATGTAACTCAGTGGGTTTTTTTTTTCGTGATGTTGTGATGCTTTTTGATTTTAACTCCAGATCATAGATGGCAGTACTGACCATCATTCTTACCACAGTTCACTGAGTAGCTTTTGTCTAGTATTTAGGATGGAGGTGTGGACAGAGAAGCTGTGTCTTGGCTGTGACAGACTGCAGCTTACTCTGAGTAACATTTTCACCCCACTTAATCTAACCTAACTGTTTCTGGCTCAAATATGAATCATGCAATTGTCACAGACCTGTGAATTCTGGATGTTTCCTTGTTTCTGCCCATGAATTTCCAACCTGACAATCTGAAAGGTATGATGTAAAGCTTACTTCTCTCTTCAAATAGTAGGTGAATACCAATTGAATGGACAAAATAGATGAAAGATATGTAATTGTAGCCCTGATGGTTCTAATTTTCTGTTTATGCCTGTTTTTGTAGAGCAGTTTATTTGAAACAAATATTCCCACTCTAACTTTTGATGGTCTAAATTCAGCAACTCAAAAATATTTTAAATAAATTTTTGATAATTTTTCAATGAAGTTGTGATGCTATTATAAAGCAGATCAATTAATATTTGGTAGTGAAAATGATGTCTGAGGTCAATAAGAACAGGATGAGAAGCAATAATTTCAAACTGCACTAAAATGAGAAGAGTTGGATATTTACTGGATTAGAAAGAGAATGTGTTCTCCAGCTACAGGAAGAAATGAATGAGGTTAGCTACTAAAGGAGACTGTAGAAGCATTTACAGAAGCATAATACTGAAGGTGATAACAATTTTTTCATAAAGATTTAGAAAGAGAAAACAAATTAGAAATTTATAAATAAAGTAGAAATATGAAAATCAGCTTTCACATAAATACCAGATCAAGTTTACTAGAAATTTTTAATTCTCTTCACTTTTACTATTACAAATAAAAGATGTAATAACCATTTTTCAATTAAAATATGAGCAAATGACAGTAGTCTAGAGATTTCTATGTACGTATACTGCCAGTATCCAAATTTGCAATACTTAATACTGAAGAATTCTTTATTTAAGTTCTGCTAAAAGAGTGAATTGGTATTGTTAGAATGCAATGAAAGAAGTAGAGAAGAGATTCATATCTTCCTGCAACACAGTTTTTACCAGAAGTCAGCACAAACAGCAGAACCTATTTATTGTTTTCTTCAGAATTCAAAATCAAAGAATCATAAAGGATGGAAAAGACCTCCAAGATTATCCACCTAGCACCTATCACCAATATTTCCTCACTAAACAATGTCACTTAGTACAACATCTAAACATTCCTTGAACAGCTCCAGGGATTGTGACTCCACTACCACCCTGGGCAGATCATTCCAGTACCTGACTGTTTTTTCAGAGAAGAAATTTGCCTAATATGCTACCTGAACCTCTGTTGGCACAACTTGAAGTCATTTCCCTCTCATCCTATTGCGAGCTATGCAAGAGAAGAGGCCAAATCTCACCTCACCACAACCTCCTTTCAGGTAGTTGTAGTGTATAATAATGTCTCTCCTGAGCCTCCTCCAGCCTAAAGATCCCTCAGCCACTTCTCATAAAACTTGTACTTCAGTCCCTCCACAGCTTCTTTGCCCTCTCTGGACACACTCCATCGCCTCAGTGCATTTCTTGTAGCAAAGGGCTCAAAACTGAACACAGCACTTGAGGTGTGGCCTCTCTAGTGATAAGCACATGAGAAGACCACCTCCCAGATCCTGTTGGCAACCCTATTTCTGATACAAGCCAGGATGCCATTAATGTTCTCAGCCAACAGAGCACACTCCTGACTCATGTTTAGCCAAGAACTGACCAATAGTTCCAGCTCCATTTCTTCTACAGTCATCCAGCCACTCTGCCCCACACCTGTAACGTTATCTAGAGCTGTTGCAGCCAAAGTGCAGGATCCAAAGTCCAGGAGTGGCTTTAGTTATGTAATGCTACTCACAATTTTATTCATATATATTTAGCTGTGTTGTTTTTATAATGATTGCCAGCTGTTAAGCAAGATTTCCATGATAATAAAGACCTTTTCTTCAGGTCCACATGGCTGATCACAATGCTGATATTCTTCTCTCCTGACATGTGCAGAACACACTTTAGAATGTCAGTGGGAATTCTGCACACACATGGAGAGAAGGCTACAGGAGATGACATTTTCCATGTGGCCCTGAGATGAAAATTTTGCCCTAAGATAGTTCATTCAGTAAGTTTTTTTCCGACTGCAGCAGTCACTTTTGCTTTAATAGAAAATGAACCTTTAAGACAATGTAAAGGAATGCCATTTGCCAAGGGACCATTTTGATATGTAGGTTTATGTTTAAATATCAACATGAAACATTCACTGATGGAAAAACTAGGGATGGTAGTATTTTTCCATGAATGATCCTCACAGGTTTTACTTCTGATCAACATCATACCCAGTCAGACTGACCAATCTTAGAGCAGATTCCAAACTATGATATCCCACATGCATAACTCTTTTTTTTTTTAATTCTGTGGTAATACTTCAAAAAAATGTTGACTAGAAGTGTAATTAATCTCAAGTAGTCCTGAGGAAGAAGTAACAGAGTAGGTAGCCTAAAAAATAACATTTGCATATAAAATAACAAATAAAAAAAACCACTGGTTTCTAGTTCTTCGCTATTACTATTTTTTGAAGGTTACATATCATGAAACGCAGTATCAACTTTGCTGTTTTCCTGTTCATACACAAATGAATAAAGTGATTGATTCTGCAAAATCAGTTTTCCTAACAAAATATCTAACAAAATGTTTTGTTTCTGTTGTTTTTTTTCTTCCCCCCCCTGTTCTTAGCTTGGTAGCTACAAAGGAAACAGACAGTGCAAGATCCCGTAGCATGCCAATGTCACCATCCGATTTCTTGGATAAACTAATGGGTAGGATGTCGGGATACGATGCAAGGATCAGACCAAATTTCAAAGGTAATTTCAAACGTAAACTTCCAAATAATTCAGTATTTCTTCTTACAAAAAAGATAGAAAGAATATGAAAACCTAGAAATATGCTTATTTTTTAAAGTGAATTCCCTTTTCTATTACGGTTTCAATAGTATTACGCTCTATACCTATCATTTTCACAGCTGAACTAATGCAGATTTTTAGTCTTATAACTATTTTTGGACTGTCTAATAGTTTTCTTTTTTCTCTTTCCTGAAATACTTGTTAATGGATTTGAATTCCCAACTAGCACAACAGTAGTCTGAAGTAACCTAGAAAGGAAGTTGCATGAAACACTTGCCTGATGCTGGATATAAGGAGTATATTATGCACATAACATCGGAATCAAACTCAAGAGTTTGTCTTAGTCATCAAGTCTATAATGAAATTCTCCTGTAACATTAGATTCCTCTTGTGCCTCAAGAAGGACTGTATTTCTTGTTGTTCTTTACCCTTTTCTCAGTTCTCCTCTGAAACTGCAAGTTCTTGATAACTAGAATTATTATTGTTGTTATATGCCTTGTTGACATTCATCATAAAGAAGATTCAAGTAAGAAGTACAAAGTTTGCAAATGCAAATATTACATGTTCTTTAGCACAAATCATACTACTCAAATGCAGGCATATTTAATAGAAAGATAATACATACATACCCGATATGTTATCATGCAATTACACAAACAAAAACACAAAAACGCTACACTTTCTGACTTTTGCAGTCTGGGAATTTCAGGTAGATTTGACACCTTTTTTCAGAATGCAGAATTCCAGTAATGTAGTAGAACTATACTTAGCCCTAATTCTGAATCTATATATCAAGCTACTAGTCTTTAAAATTCTCCAAAATATGAACACTTTTATAGAAAGGATAAACCTGTTGTGATTTAAAATATTACTCTTATTTTGCCTTAGTTGCCTCTCCCTTTGCTTTGATTGCAATGAGTTCTCTTAGCTCCAGCTTTTTATTATGTTTACTACAAAACTTTCCCTTTGAGCAGACAAGCCTTCCCCCTCTGAATCATCTGTTGCTACCTTTACAACTTAATTTTTATCTGGCACTGATTTTTATAGTTTGAGATCACCACACCTCAGTAACTTCAGTAATAATAACTCTTAAGCATTGTTATTTGCTACTTTTGCCAAATTTGCCCAGAATAATTCAAAAGTACAAGGTAAGTAGTTTGTCAACTTACTTCCTCACCAGTAAGCCATAAACAGTCAGTACTGCATGTATAGACTCATTATCAAGGATTTACCACATCTGGAAATACTTCATTTTTAGTTAATTACCACCGCTGATCTTTTTCAAGTAAGATAAACACGCACTGGGAATTCAAACACTTCACTGAAAGATTTACAACAATGACCAATATCCCTCATGTCTATACAGTATGAGTCCCTCATTTTTGCCTGAGTGTCTGGTGTGATGCTATTTTTTTGTTCTAGGATAAAAACAATGTTGATAACACGCTGACGTTTATAGCTGCTGCTAAGAAATATTGTACATAGCCAAGGCCATTCACAGTGTAGGGCTCAAGGAGCTGAGAGGGAGCAGAATTAGGATACCTGTCTTACACTGTCCAAAGGGATATCCCATACCACATGACATTACGTGGAAGGATTTTTGAAGGGCATAGGAGTTCATATCACCTTCTTCTGCTGCTAGGGGATGGTAAACAATTGCTTATGCATCACTTTTTCTATATATTCTTATATATGCATATATTTATATGGTCATAATTATTATCTTTTTTGCTATCTTAGTAAATAGTTTTATCTCCATCCACAAGTTCTACTTTTTTCCCTCTCCCCCAATTCCCACATCCCACTGAGAAAGGGGCTGAGTGAACAATATGTGATACTCAGCCACTTGCCAGGTTATATCACAACCTTATTAAACTTATCATGCCTTGTTTCCATACTGTTCCCCTTAGCATGTAAACTACAGGTTCAACCTAAGCTAATGCTTTGAGAGGCAATGAAAGATCTCAAGAAAAAAATCTAAGCACTGCAGTTTTTCTTCATTTTTTGGGTCTCCTGAAGCCCTGTAAATAAGGGCTAAAAATTTGGAGATTACAGTTTAGGGATTGGATTTTGGAGTTTGTCACAGACAAAATGCAGTCTTCTGATGGGACTACACTGAAGAACAGACAGATGTTTAGAGATTAGTGAATTCAGTGTAGTACTTCTTGAATATATAATTCAGAAGACTCAGAGCCTTGTTTTGTAACTATTGGAATTTAAAGAGACAAAACCTAATTTGACATTGTTCTTTTTCAGAAAGTGCACATTCTAAATCTTCTAGACAGCTATGCAGCTTGAACAAATCTGCCCAGAATGATTCAGATCTATCACTAAGAATAAGTGTCTCCTCAAGTGACTTTGCCACTTTCTCGTTAGCTGTGTTTGTCCTAGAACAAATACTGTAGTTTTGTCTTTATGAGTTTTTAATTTGGTAGCAGTTTTAAAGAAACAGACATAAGAGATTTCAGATAATCATTTTATGTTGCTTTTTTTTTTTTCTTTTTCCTTTCAATAACATTTCTGCATGGAGAAGATTTTAAATTAACATTCAGTTTCATATAGGAAAACGTAATTTGTCAATATCAAGGCAAAGAACAAACAGCACTCAGAAGTCATTAATTTAGGAACTTCTTAAGTTCACGTAGGTCCTGACTTACTTTTGACTCAGTGTTTTATGGCAATAAAATTGTGATGCTTTGCACTTGTGCAAAGTATTACTTTTTTGTTCAGTTGAATATGGTTACTACTTTATTGCCACATGCCTTATTAAAAAAAAAAAAAAAAGGAGAAAATTCCTTTTGACCTTTACAGACTTTGTGTTTAAATATTGCTCCCTACTGTATTCCTTTTTCTTTTTTCCCCCCAAAGTTAAAACCAGCTATCTACTTATGCTGGCTTTTTTTTTCAGCAGTAGTTTAGAGAGTTTGTCAACCTTGACTTTCTTCCTGACATTTTTTTCTCCCTAATATATCATTTTAAGGTGGACAGAAATTTTGAAGTATTCAGGTTGGAAGTTCATGATCTACTTCTATGGCTATCCATCTATCCCAATGTCTACAGAACATGCTTCCAGTGAACCACTGATAATGCATCTACTCCTTTCTGCTCAGAAATCATTAATTTAGAGCCCATTAGTATAAGCGCATAACAGGGATGGTTTTGCATTTGATTAACACTGAATGTCTTCAAACACTTTATTGTTTGAGTTTCTAAACCATTTCTGAATTGCTTTTAGTTTCTATTTATGTTATTTTTAACTAGCTATTAACTGTCTTCTTGTAATGCTGCTTTTAAAATTGTACGTCAGGGTTTATTTCCTTTATAAAAGCAACTATATTGATAAAGAAAAATTACACTTCAAAACAGTGCTATTTTAAGCAAGATAATATCATGCCAAATTTGAAATTATGACAAGTATTACAACATAGATATTTGAGAAAGGAAAGCTGCCTTGGAATCAAATTATCCAATAATCTTACACAGCAAGGAAATACAATGTTGTCTGACAGTTGTTAGTAATTTCTAGTGACTCTGCCTTTGTTCACCTGCCCTGTTTTTTTTCCATTTTCCTTTATCATCTTCTGGAGTTCACTCCATATGCTATCAATGCATATGGATAAATGCCTTTACTGAATTGTAAGATCTATTAAATACACTCACCCGCTCTAAACAATTAACAAAGTTGCAAAATGACTGGAGTGTCAAAGTGACTGTAGAGTAATACCTCTTCACCTGAAAATTCTGCGTTGCACATGTACCTTTGTGTACCTTTGTGTATTAGAATGATTGACGTACATATAGTGATGTTTTGTTATAAAAGCTGGATGTTCCAAGATGGTCCTGTTGGCAGAATTTTCAATGAATATTCTGATTGTTCAAATATATAATGTTAATTTCATTGGTCACACTAAATTTTACTAGTTCTAAAGCACCAGTGGCAGAATAGTCTATTACTTCAGTAACTCTTAACAAATAAATATTACATAATTATTTGCAAGACCAGGTATAGATCTTTCATTATTAATGGTTGCTTACTACTGGAAAAAAAAACAAGCATTTCCAGTTCTGAAATGGATAGTTGATATATGAATACAAAGGTGCAGGAGAGTGACAGAAGAGCCTTAAGATGGAAAAACCTTGTTTCCATTGCACATAAGCAGAGATTGATAAGAAATAATGGAGAAGTTAGGATGCTATGTCACAATGCCATTTTTACAGAGATTTGCAGAGAAGTAATTTAAAATCTTTTCCATGAAGAGATGGCTTATTGTTTAGTTATTGTAATGACTGCTCTACCAGTACTGATGCTTCACAAATGCAAGATAAAGCAGAACAGCAGTTGGCTAAAGACCCATGGTAACGGAAAAATTCAGCTTAAATGGATTCTTAACTATTTTTTGAATTTAAGAGAAATGAGAATAGCATCTAAGTCATTCTTCCTTATTCACTTTTGTTCCTGTCAGTAGCAGAGATAAGAGCAACAATAATGTATTTCAGTTACCAGTGATGACAGATAATGTCAAAAGCTGCCTTGACAGAAAAAGGTCACTTTTCCCCCTAACTGTTGTAAAAAGTAGCAAGCATTTTTCACTTAAAAAAAAAAAAAAAAAAAAAAAAAAAAAAAAAAAAAAAAAAAAA